TCAAATGGGATTTACTGGCAGAGATTACATAAGAAAACTTTCTCAGATGAAGATGATTTGACCAGTGTAAATATGTAGAGATTTTATTTCCTCCTCGGGGAACAAGCAACCGGGTTACATGACAACTCCCCCACCCTTGATGGACAGCTTCACCTCATGCTCTCTTCAGTTACAGTCATTTACATAGCAGGTGCTGTGCCGTGCTTCAGACTGTCTAGACCTGAGTAGCTCAAGGGGAAGAAGGTCTTGTGAGGAACTTAACAGTCAAGTGTGATTCGAATATTTCAATACACCATAAATAACAGAAACACAGAGCATGGAGTTGGTGTGGAGGACTCCTTATAATAAGATGGTAATTTTTTTTAGTTTGTTGAGTAAAATTCAACAAAGTAAATTGTATATGCAGACGCATAACAACAATAGTAGCTAAGTAGTTTGTTCCTTATTTAAGTAACTTTTAAAAAAAACAAAAAAAAAACCTAACCTAACCTAAAAATACCTATATAACATTTCTTCTGTCTCTTTAATAAACATGGGTACTTTTTAAAACCATAGACTGTTTATAAGGCCTGGATGGAGCTACCTCCATTGCAGGCTTTAGTTGAAGGGTGAGGTGTAAAGCCTTGATTACATCTATTTATGCTGATGACACTGAGAAGAAATTAAAACAAAAATGAACCAATAACAATGATGTCAGAATGACAACATTTTTATAAGACGCCCCCTATAGGAATCAACTGGATTATTTCTTGAGTATTATTTCTTAATTTTGAATTTTCCCAAACAACACATTCTGTGTCATAAAAGGACTTTAAAAGTTGACCAGACACATTCAAAAATAAATAAAAAGACACAGACCGACTTTTCTCAAGTTTAATATCCATTACTTTTTTTATACTTAATTTCAATATTATAATAATCTGGATCCACTGTACATTTTTCTTGTGTTAAATGTTGACCCTCAAAGTAGTAAGTAAGCTGTAGTTAGCCAGTGTCAAAGCTAATGAGTTTCCCAACTAAAGCATCCTTCAGCTCTTCTTTGTAAACTGGCTGTGCTGTGTGCAGGATGTGACACTCTCGAGCGCCGCTCTAATGACGCTAACTGTATAATTATGGCTGGCAGTGGCCACTGTCTACTGTGTAATTTGGGTTTCCAGTGGTCGTCCATGATTTCGACAGATGGCAATTTCTGAGGTGACAGGAAGGGTGAAAAGTTCAATATCTCTTTCAGTTGTTGATAGATGGACTCTCACTCACCACAGACCGTCCTCACCCTAAGTCACTTTCAGTTAAAAACTGACATTTGTTTTTACCATATTTACAGAACTACTGTACAGGACGTTGTGTCAGAAGAAGGAGGAAAACAAGGGAAATCATCTCAAAATTTCCCAAGATTTCTGACATTTTTAATTTTACATCATTATCGTTGTTTTCCTTTGAAACGTCATCTTGACTTTGACTGAATCTCAAATCTTTGCAATAGACATATGAACCGAGGTCTATTTAGAGGTGATGAACTCTGTGCTCCGTGAAGAGATTGTAGCTTTGAGCTAATGCCAGATGATAATGACATTCACTCTTAAATTATATCAGTGGTGAATTTTATTATTCCAGCTCCACATTAAATGAGGCAGAACACGTGTAATTGTGCATTAAATTATTTAGGTTGAACTTACCAGCAGTGAATGTTGTGTACTGGTGAAACAGGCCATTGAATTTAATTGCTTAAAATTGCTGTTAATTAGCTACAGTCTGGCCAAAAACAGAGCTGTGTGAAGGATAGTTTTAATCACTTCCACTTTTCCTGAGGCGAATTGGCTGTAATGAGAGGAAGATTCACTTCCGCAGAAATGTCTCATCCTGACCTAAATTAGAGCAACAAGTGTAACCAAACCCATGTTCGAAGAAGAAGAAAAAAAAGAGCACGACCTAAGGTCAGTCCAGAGTTAACTCTATATCCTCCAGATGTTTGGGAATCATTGGATGTGGTCTCGGAGCTTAATATTGTGTACATACTCTTCTTCATTTGCAGAGCACGACTGTGATTATGGGTTTGATTGCCAATGGGGCCACCCATGCTCCAAACAAACGCATGCAGTAACGACACTGCACAGATAGTCCGGGTGGAAGAAAGCCACCAAATGTCATGCTCAGAGGTCGATAGGTTTTGCTGGGAAAAACCGCTGCGCTGTCAAGTTTGTTTGAAGCTTGGGTTTCTGTTATGCTGTGTTTAAACCCGTCCATCTACTTTTACTAATGACTTCTGAAAAGAAGGCAAAAATAGAAAAAGTGGGACTGCCTTTCTTTGCATTTGCCAACTGAACCCCATTAAAAAAAGCTGGTTTGACTGAAGATTGAAAAACAAGTAAGTTCTGGTAAGGACATTTTCTGGTACTGACCCAGTGGCAAGGATATAATGGTTTGGAGACACAGTGGTAGAATGGTTAGTGCTACTGCCTTACAGCAGCAGGGTCTGTCTGTCTATCTGTCTATCTGTCTGTCTGTCTGTCTGTCTATCTGTCTGTCTGTCTATCTATTGACTGTTGGGTTGGCCCCCAGCCTGTACCCCACAGTTAACTACATTAGGCAGTAGCAGATCTCCCCCAGGACTCAACACTTTGGGCCAAACCTCACAAGGAATTGTCTTTTGAGTTTAACTTGTCAAAGAATTTAGGGCCCTTTTCTGAGTACTATTAAAATAAATACTATTCGGAAAAGATTCAGATAGTCAAGGTTGGAATCTGCTGAAGATTGCACTATCAATGACCACAGCAAAATTGTCACTTAAAACCCTATTCTGTGCCTTCACTTCTCATGCAATACATGATGATTTAGTCCTCTGGGTCCATGACTGTCAGAGAGACAGACTGAAAGACTCTTCAAATGCATTTCCAGTATGCATTTGTGGAGGATTCAACTTAAGGTCAGGTGTCCAGTAGGGGTCAGACCAGGCTCACTTTTGCAAATTTACAAGCTGCCATTAAGATTAAAATGATGACAAGTATATGAAGCAGAATTTTTAAAAATACTTTCATGTATTATGATATAATATATATTACATATAAACATACAGTATACATCCACCTGTTGTTGACATATTTGTCTTTCTCTTTAGCATATACAGAAAAAATGTATTTGCCTGTAAGTATAGTTTGACAGTCTTAGTATTGTTTTTACAGAATCACATCCTGTTTCTGAATGGTGGCAGTAACACCTAATGTGCTCCTTATGTCCAGTCCAGTGTTGTTAAAAGTTTTTCATCTTTCACATTGATACCAATTAAATGTAATTATCCCTGAGTGGGCGGGTGTCCAGTGACCCCACAATCGGGATGCGGCCTATCTTGCCTCAGTCCAACTATTTTTGGAGTGTGGTCATTTTTATGAGTAAGTTAATCCTGCACTCTTGTGGACAAATTATCTTTTAGCACTGTTGATGGCATAGCTACGACTTTTCAAACAACATTTCCATAGTTGTGGATTTTAAAAAATTTAGAAGGCTCTGAAAAACTTTATTACATGATCAAAAGTACACACAAACGGGAAGAAGAGAATGGAGTGTGGCAGGTAAAGTGGCTGAGTTTTTGTCTGTTGGTGGGAAAAGCCCAGCATCATCCAACAGTTCTACTTCTGAGCAGCAGCCAGGAGCGCAGACCACAGAGAACACGAGCCAAAACTGAGTAAGAAGATCAATGGACATCAGGAACAGTGTGCGCACACAGTCAGTCTGAACATAATAGAAATCTGATGTACAGAAGTATGGTGGTGATTACTTTAACAAGGTCTTTATTAGCCCCAAGTTAATTATGCTTTCGGGATACTTTGGATGTAGGACAGTGCAATTTAGTTAAATCTGTTTAGTCTATTGGCTAATTTAGACAAATACTTTCTCTATATATAATCTAAGCAGCAACTGGCCCACTTTTAGCCAACCTGGTCTTGTTTAAGCTCTCTTTTCAGCATTCTTTAGCTAATGCTCAGTTTACTATTTTTTAAACTATTTGTGGTTGTGTCCCAGAATGATGTTTTTGTTTTTTTAATCATTCCAACTTTTTTTCTGTCTACTTTAAAGCTGACTTTATTTTTAGCTGAAAACATTGGTTAACAGTTTAGCAACATCAGGCTTTTAGCTACTGTATTTCTAGAACTCTTATTAGCTAGCTTTTTTTTGCTTATTTGGAAGCGACCAGTTAGTAATAACATTTTTGTTAAGTGTTTGCTACTATATGTCTTGTTAATTTTAGCTAACACTTTTATTAAACATCTTTCAAATATCAAAGCAGTCAAATTGAAACAATACAGCAAAGGCCTCATGCAAACAGATCTTAAATAATAATAAACAATTTCACCTATTATTTCAGCCAGTATGCACACTCATGAACATTTACTGGCTGAAAATAATTGAATCCTAATAAGGAAGCATTTTCTATCACATCTGGACAGCAGGTGGCACCGACCAGCTGCACGGCTGCGTATCAACGATGATGATCTTCTAATATCACAATCTGAGATTTGACAAAAAGGAAGAAAAAAAGGAGTTCCTAAAATAATGACACGTGAACTTCTTTTAAAGAGAGAGCTCACATCTAATATATTCAGGCGTATATGTATCAAAAGTATTTTTTATTTAACCGGAACAGAAACACGCGACCGCACAGTTTGTGACGGTAAATCGAATGGGAAAGCGTTTCATTATTTCAATAAGTGGAAGAAATGGAGTTCATCTCAGGTCTTTTTGTAGAAAATCGTGCTGACAGCACAGCTCCGTGTGTCGTTTAAGGTAAAGGGCTGGTTTTGTTTCCAGAAAAACTGATATGCTGACGGTTCGTTTAACCGCAGCTTACTGGTTCTTCCCAGAGCTGTTTTCTATAAATCACACCGAATTCCATTTTCTTTTTTCTACTTCTGTTCGTCGATTTACATGATTAATCGGTCATTATGAACAAATCAGTGTTAACAACTGAGTTATCAGTTTCTGACGTAGGCCTCCATGTCTCACAGCTCTTCACAGCATCTCTGTCCTGGACCCTGCAGCAGCAGGCTCTACCTCCGAAGTACCAGTACTGGGACCCGCTGACGTCGGAACTCCTGCTGTGTGACAAGTGTGCTCCTGGGACGGCAGTGAAGCGACACTGCACCGCCGACACACCCACGGAGTGTCAGCCCTGTCCTGAGAGACACTTTGCTGAAAACTGGCACTGGGGGGATTCCTGCCAATACTGCACCTCGGTACGCGAAATACACAGTAATACAGTTTCTTCATAGACACGTGTGTACTTGAAGGAAGTTTTTTGTTTTTGTTTTACTTTACTTCAGCTAGTACTCTCACCAAACTTAAACCTGGTAAGATTATTCAAGCTTTTTCCCCCAAAATGTAAAAAAAAATTCAAAGGAATATGACTCCAGGCATTAGAAGAGGCAAACAAGCAGGTTGTAACGTGTTTAGAGTTTAATTTTAATATTTAAAAGAAAAAAAATCAAAGCTAATAACAGATTTTCATTTTATCAAAGAACGTTTCAACTTAGCTTCTTATCAATATATATTATACTATTTTTGGCTCATACTAATACCACTGTATATCCTGTTTATCTGTTAGTACATGTGCCTAGTAGTACTGTACTGTATGTCTCATCTGTAAATGCATCAGCTCCACCCAGTGGCCGTAGGTCCACAGTGTCTCACAGTGACCTTCTGTGTCTCCCGTGTTCAGGTGTGTAAAGAGAGGCAGTTGGTGAAGCAGCACTGTAACAGCACACATGACCAGGTCTGTGAGTGTGCGCCGGGATTTCACCTAGTGGTGGAGTTCTGCATCACACACAGCACCTGTACACCTGGCTATGGAGTGACAGCCTTAGGTAAGCCACGTCATGACTGTAAGAGTAATTGTCAGGGTTTGTGGCCCTTGAACATCATATTATATGTAACAGATGGTGTTTATACAAAAACTTCAGAATTCATATTTAGAATTTAATATGTGTAAACTACGAGAGGTGTGTAATGGATGGGTGGATGGAGTTTGTTGGTAGATCATAGGTGGGTGATTAGGTAGGTGGGTGATTTGGCTGCATGGGTTTGTGAATGGATGGTTGGAGGAGTTTTTGATGGATGGATGGGTGGGTTTATGGATGGATGACTATTGGATGAATTTTTTTGTTGAATGAATGGATAGATGGATGGGTTTGGATTGGTGGATAGATAGATTTTATTTGTTTTATGGATGTCCAGTAAGTTAGTGAGGTTTTCTGAAAACACACTGTAACCATGATTCAGATGTGACCTGAAGTTTTATTCAGTTGCTGTACTTGTGTCCCTTTACTATGGGTAACATGTAGACGTGCTGCTGCTGAACTGGAATAGAATCTGATACATGTGCTGTAGCTGTAGTCCAAACAGGCTCTGTGCTCCTCAGACCTGAATTCCAACTCTTCATCGATTAAAATAACATTTCTGTGGACGCCGGTCAAAGTCAGACCCCCGCACGGCTGACGCTGGTGAAAGATGAGACGAGAATTTCCACTACATTCTATCTTCTCCAAACAGACTGACTACAGTGCATACTGAAGCTGTGTAGACATGACTTGACACTTCAGGGGATTCCCCTCTTTGAAACTCTAAGACTCATTATGTAATGCTCTGCACTGTGGTTCAGACTTGGGACCACAGACATGTTAGAAAAGTCTCTCTGCCACACATGCCTTTTATGACTCCGTTCCTTCATTTCCACTCAATGTGTTCTGTTTCACTTTTTTTTCCATTTATATTTCAAGTACTGTTTTAGTATTGTGTTTAATTTGTGTAACTGTACAGTCTGCCCTACAGGCGGCACTGTAAATGATGGTTTGAATGACACTGACAGGAGTCGAATATATTGATGGCATTTAAAACTACAGCTTTTTGCGGCCAATGGAATGGTTTTACATCATTTTATTTAACATATTTAGTCCAGTCCCTGAGATTATCATTCCAACTTTTTTACTTTGATTGATTAGACTTTTTACTACAAACACACAACATACATTTCTAGTGGTTGAGTGCCAGTTTTAGAATTAAGTTTATGTAATAAATGTAAACAATAAATATCAATTTAAGAAAGAACGAGCAAAGGTGAATTAAAAAAAATTATCTAATTTATTTAATGGAAATTGATTTTAAGAATCTATTCATAAATTAACTAAGAGGAATTCTAGCTAATGGTGTTAATTTTGTAAGTATTGTATGACTAGTTTACCAGTTAAAGAGGATGTAGGTTTAAATGTCAGCAGTCTGACATTTAAACTCATATCTTGTCAGATGCTGACATGATTTTTCTAACACACACGGTGAGCTGACACATTTGAGAACCTCACAGCCTGAGCGCTGCAGGAAACGTGTGCACATTGCCGTATGCACGATCAGCAGCAGGTGGTTTCTTGTTTCGCTGCTGAATATTAAAAAGTAAGAAGGCAGTTTATTGTGAGAGCGGGAAACAGTCAAAGGTGAAACGCTCAGTGCTTCCACTCTAACGCGTCAGAGATAAAAATAAAGAGGATGTGGATGACTGTGGTTTGGTACGACTTAATCATTTGCATTATTTCACTGTTAGTCATTGTGGTCGGTACTGAGTCATAGTCAACTGATGACCTATTATTTCTAGTATTAGCTCCTAGTATGTTAAAGAGGGAATCTTTATTAGTTATAGTAAAGAAAAATCAAATACATTTGTGCTGTCCTGATACCAATTTGTACAAACGCATATAAGTATGAGTTTTATCTTTATTTTGTTTAAGTTTAATTAAGTTTTAACAGAGCCAAACCACAACCAACAACAACGCCGGGTAGAAAAATGCTTACAGTCAGTTTTATTTTATTTTCATTACCAGAAGGTTGTTTCAATCCAAAAATGTAAAAACCAGTATTTCTGTATAAAACGACACATCTTCAAAGTGGCACTGTTGTCACATTAGACAGATCAGTCAGTAAAACTAAGATCAAAATAAAAACAAATATTATTAGAAAAATAAAGATAAAAAAAAGTCTCCATAGTGAGATGGAAAGTGAGCAGAGCTTTTACACCAATAGCTCATTTACAGTCTGTAGAACCCAGTGTCTGCTGTTCTCCACTGACCAGCGTCTACCCTGTTGTTTTTGTATTCTGAGCTCAGCTACGTCTCTGTTTATATCATAACAAACCAATGAGGAACTACACTCTGAACTGCAGCAGAGAAACACTGACTTCTGCAAAACTGCTCGTTATTGGGTCGATGGATCTGCTATTTTTCAATGAAATAGATAGATATTAAATATGAGAGGCAATATACAAATAATACAAATGTGGTTTTGTATGAGGAAGTCAGGAGTGGCAGAGAAGTATGATAGTTTGATGCAGGACATGTATGAGAATAGTACAACAGTAGTGAGGTGTGCTGTTGGAAGGACAGAAGACTTCAAGGTGGAGGTGGGACTACATCAAGGATCGGCCCTGAGCCCCTTCTTGTTTGCTTTGGTGATGGACAGATTGACAGATGAGGTCAGACAGGAGTCCACATGGACTATGTTGTTTGCAGATGACATTGTGATCTGTAGTGAGAGTAGGCAGCAGCTAGAAGAGAACCTAGAGAGGTGGAGGTTTGCACTAGAAAGAAGAGGAATGAAGGTCAGCCGCAGCAAGACAGAGTACATGTGTGTAAACGAAAGGGAGCACAATGAAATAGTGAGGCTACAAGGAGCAGAGGTGGTGAAGGTGCAGGAGTTTAGGTACTTAGGATCAACTGTTCAGAGCAGCAGAGACTGTCGAAGAGAGGTGAAGAATAGAGTACAGGCAGGATGGAACAGCTGGAGAAAAGTGTCAGGAGTGATCTGTGACAGAAGAGTGTCAGCTAAGGTGAAGGGAAAGGTTTACAGGACGGTGGTGAGACCAGCCATGATGTATGGTTTAGAGACGGTAACAATAGGCAGAAGACAGGAGGCGGAGCTGGAGGTGGCAGAGTTAAAGATGCTAAGATTCTCTTTAGGAGTGACAAGAATGGACAGGATCAGGAATGAGGTCATTAGAGGGACAACACAGACAGGAAGGTTTGGAGAAAAAGCTAGAGAAGCCAGATTGAGATGGTTTGGACATGTGCAGAGGAGGGACAGTGGATACATTGGTAGAAGAATGTTAGAGATGGAGCTACCAGGTAGGAGAAAGAGAGGAAGACCAAAGAGGAGATATATGGATGCAGTGAGGGAGGACATGCAGATAGTTGGAGTCAGAGTAGGAGATGCAGAGAACAGGGAGAGATGGAAATCAATGATTTGCTGTGGCAACCCCTGAAAAAGGGACAAAGCCAGAAGAAAAAGAAGAAGACAAATAATAAGCTTGTTTTTTATGTAAAAGTGCAGTATAAGCTGCTATGTGCATTCATTCTCCAAAGGTCTGGTTATTCAGTATTTAGTATTCGTTTAGTTTTATTTTAATATTTTTTTACCCTCTTGCATTTAAGATCTTGTTTTTATTGCTGCAGTGTCTTTATCCCTGTTGCTAAAAAAACTTGTGGAAATCTGCTTTAAATGCAATAGTCAGAGCAGATAAGGTGTAAAGTAACGGTAGCTGGGAGCATGGAGGGATCCAGTGAACTTTTTTTTCTGCTTAAACAACAGTTCTGACATTTAGTCAGCACCACAATTTTGACAACTTTTCTGCCTGTCAGACAGATAAACGAGCAAATAAATGAAACTGTGGCACCGACACATGTCATTACAGTCATACCTACAGTACTCAAGCGTTGTGGTGAGCCAGAAAAAACGGAACCTATAGTCGTGTAGCGTAGTGTAATGAGTCATACTAAGACTCACATATCCGTCATCCGTTGTTCTCATGGGGTGTTCTCATGTTAACCTGGTCATAGTTCTTGGAATCACCTCTTGTCTCGCTTGACGAGCAAAATGGTGTAGGTCATGTTCACATTGTGGAAAATGCTGAGAAGGGTTGAAAATTGAGGGCATGAAAAATCTGAAATTACAGTGTTTTTTTTTTTTTTGTTTTTTTTTTAACATTTTCCAGTAATGTTTTACGATCTTTGAGATTAAAACATCACTCAGTGGCTGCTGTTTATTTTTCCCCTGCAGGAACTCCGGTCTCTGACACTGTCTGTGAGCCGTGTCCCCCTGGTTATTTCTCTGCCGTCAACTCAGTCTCTGATCCATGTCAGCCCCACACTAACTGCTCAGACTTGGGCCTGAAGACTCTGCGATGGGGCACCACCACTTCAGACAGTGTCTGTCAGGACAAGGCAGCCACGCTGCAGTGCTCTCAGCATCACAGTCTGTGCCAAACTGGTGAGAAAAAAATAGAAAATAAAACACACAATATTTCTATGACTGGTAGCTGGTATGGCCCAAAAAGTTTTGAAGGTTAAAACCAGGGTAGAGATATCCACAGTGAACACACACATGCACACATGATAATGATTTTGACTAAACCTCAACTGTTGACAACCTGAAATCAACCAGAAGTGAATGAGTTTAGACATGTGGTAATTTTCATTCCTGGAGGAAGGGGATTTCCTCGGTCAGGTCTGTCGTCCAAATTCCATTCTTTTCACAATTTCTGTGCGTGCCTGAAAAACCAAATATACGAGAAAGAAGTCAGAGAAGCTCAGGGTGAATGGGGTGTTTATAGCACTACTGTACTGGATCAATTACTCCTTTAGCTGTCACATCCTCCGACTGCAGCAACAAAGGAAACTGAGTCAGGCAGGAACGAGAACACAAAAGTCGGTTCGTCTTTGTTACTCAGACCTCAGCCAGGAACGATGTCGGCAATTAATTAAAGGAAGAAAAGCCTCAGATATGACACAGGAGAATCAAAGAGCTGGGAAATTTGGGAAATCCGAGCCGCTGAAGAGCACATGTGCAGATGTAGGCACATCCATGCATGCTCCACACAGCACTTGGAATCAATCACACCGTGCCGTTATCCCTCAGGGAGTGTGATGCTCTCCTCAAACATTCATTCACAAATTTCCTTCCTGCAGACTACACAACCACAGATCGTTTGTGGCGAATCCTGGAACAGTTTAGCGGGTTTTTGGGGCAACAATGTAAAATTGAAAGCAGTTGGGATTCCCAGAGTTGCGATGTGTTTTGAATTAAACAAAGGGATGTTAGTGTGAAATAAAACCGAGTCCTACTTACAACATCCGGACATGAAAGACAGAAGAGCCCAAGTCTCTTTACACATTACAGACAGTGGCACCAAGATCACTTTGTCTGTGTTTGCCGTGTTCGACAGTTCTGTCAGAGAATGATTTCACACTGTCTGACAGTTTCAGTTTTGATATTTCTTCTACTTCAACTGCTGTTAAATTTACAGTTTTTGGACAGCAAGACAATTATGGAACAATGAAGTACGAACATCTTGTTATGATTTTTTCTCCTTGTCTGTGTTTAGTGACTGCTGCAGTGAGAGGCTCAGGCAAAATTGATTTGTCAGGCTATGGGTAACAATGGCAGTCATGCAGAAGTTGTGATCACATGATCAGGTGATGCTGTAAAGAAGCACATGGACAAATTCCATGACGTATGGAAATGTTGTTGTGTAAACACAAACCAATTTTCCATTTTCACGTGTGTGGAACAACATACGTTCAAATGTCTCTTTTTTTTTTGTGTCTTCCTCACTGTTTTAGGCTGCAAATTCTGGGCTTTTTAAACTGATATGTGTGCTGAATTATTATTGTTGCTCTTTTGTTGAGAGACTGTGATTAATCTGTGATTAGTCATGTGATTAATCACAATTTAAATTTTTTAATCGTTTTTGGTTACTTCTTAGATGTTGTTCATTTAATTGTAAAGTATAAATAAACCTCTTAACTAAGTGTTAATATGTTTTAAGCAATGTAATCAGTTCAATCAACACCTTAAGAGCCATTTTTTTTGCCATGTTCTTTAGATGTGACTCTGTGTGAGGAGGCCGTCTTCCAGTCTCTTGCTTCACTGAAGTTGCCCTCTATGCCCCTGGAGCGGCTGTTAGAGAGTCTCCCTGGTCGAAAAGTGGATCGTAAGAGCTTGGAGAGCCTGAAGAAGGCCTGCTCTCCTCACCAGCAGGTCTTCCACCTGCTGCGACTATGGAGGGAGCAGAACAAGGACCAGGACAAGCTGTACAGAATCATACAAGGTTTGGATCAGTACCGCTGAAACTGTTGTTCTCCAGATGTCAGTCCCAGATTAATATTGTATTGTAATATTGTTGTTATATCTGCGTTTGTGTCCCTTCAGGTGTTAACCACTGTGAAAAGAAGGTGTCCCGCTGCCACGGCCTGAAGAACCTGACTCTAGAAGATCTACTAACAGTAGCCAACAGCCTTCCTGGGGAAAGAGATCAGCATGCAGACGTTCAGGCGGTGTTCACTTCCTGTTTGCCCCGACAGTACATCGTTGAGATTCTTCACCTCTGGAAATCAGCTAACTACAATTTAGATCTAGTCAAAGGTCTGTATCACAGTCTGAGGGTGTTGCGCAGCCAGGGGGCGCCACGCTATCTGTTTAAAATCTTAAAGAAGATCAGTCGCATCATTGGGACTACGTCTTCACATAAGATGTACGAGAAACAGTTTGTCAACATGCTATGTTTCAAGGCCCATAAACCATTAAATGAATAGGAAAACTAGGGATAAAAACACAAATAGACACTAATGCGTCATTGTACAATTAAAACACAACCCACAGTCAACACAAATCTGTAATTTTGACAATTGAAAGAAAAAGAAACTTATATTTTTGCATTCTTCAGACGAAGACCGCGAAACAATAAAAAGATAAATGTTTTCTGGAAATGTTTTAAGAGTCTGTGAAAACAGAAAGAAAAAACTATTTAAGTTGTAAATAGCACACTGTTTTATATAAAAAAAAAGCCTGGCAATTGTTTATGTGTTTTTATTTTTCGTTGCTTTCTCGCTGTTTGAGAGGAAGGATTTGGTTTCATAATGAAATACATGTATTTTCTACAGTTTTTCCTTTGTCTGTTGGTTTGTTGAGGACTGCTGACAAGTCGAGCTCGTCTGGTTTTTGTTTTCAATTGTCAGCTTAATGAATGTACAAAGGAGTGCAATTGTTGTCTATTTAAAATAATTTTAGCTATGAACATGTAAAGGCTTTTTTTACTTCATCAGAAATACTGGATTCATCATGCTGCAAGTTTGTGAAGTGATATTTTTTATATTTTGTTTTATCACTTTTGTAATTTTAATTGCGTTGTACATACGTGTGACTGGTTTCCTTTGAAGGTTTGTATAACATGTGAACACTAATGCCAGATGATCTGATTAAAGTTAGTTTATAAATATAACTTGGCTTTGTTCATTAAAAAAGAAACAAAAAACAAACTAAAGTTCTTCCCTTTGCTGCTGAGCTAGGTACTGTAGCATGATTACTCCGCCCTGGGTGTTTCTCTTTACTCCCATGTTTTACCCGGTCTGTTTGTTTGTTTGTACATCTCACTCTTTCTATGTTTATATTTCAAAGAAATGTAAATTTAAAAAAAATGCTTATGCCTTACTCATATTTTTTAAATTTTGTGTCTGAAGCTTAGCGCTAACTGAACTTTATATTCACTGGAAACAGACCATTTGACTAATATATGTACAGCAACACCCACCATCTGATGAAATCAACAACAACACTGTCATGCTGTCATGAACCAGTGGGCGATTTAAGGGAAAATGATGACTTATACAGTACGTAGTACTACATTCAACTGCTTCAACAAACAGTGAAAGTGTAGAATGTATTTTACCACAAAGTCAGCAACAGTTAAAGGCCTAAAACCATCCACCCACTGTGTTCCTACCCACTAGTAAAACATGTTTTGGTTCTATTTTTGATCAGATTCCATTTTCAGATAAGGTATCATTTTCTGCTGAGGTTCTGTTCCTGATCAGAATTTTTTTTTTTTTTTGTCAGACCAGGGCAATGTATCCAATAGTATAATTTCCTGACTGAATTGAATTTCTGGTCAAAATGACCAGTAGATGGCAGTAATGATTTCCTGTGGGAATTTCTGCCTTATGCCTCCTTTACCGCTTGTTTTGGTGGTGGAGCAGCGTTTCTGGCACTGCTCCCAAACAACCCGCTCAGGAGCTTTCATCCAACACCTTGTCCTTTCATTTAAGCTAAAGCTCAAAGTTTAATTTGTCAGCTACGAGTTCAGTGGATTATTCTCCTCTCCAATGTTCTGCAATGAGATTTTTTAAGTGGAGCTCCTTCATTAGAATGCTGAATAAAGTTTCAAAGTGTTTAGCATTCACCAGCTAGCATGCTAGATACCAGGTAGCATACACCTGGGCCTGAGAATTCTTTAGCACTCCCGGTCTGTTCAGGACTAGCTTGTGCAGCCGACTGTTTTGTTTTGTTTTTGTTATTTATTTATTTAGTTTTTGATTTTTCTATTTCCCATCAAAGAACATCAACCTCAGAACAAAGCAGTGGTTCATACAATGGGCGGAGCGGAGCTATTTCGGAGGGAAGGCAAGTACATTTAAATTTTAATACTTTCTATATTTGTATTGGTATTTTGGTATTTTATTATTGGTAATTTTATATGGCTTAATAAGAAGAGATTAAAATTCTTTCTATAATTAAAATAATATATTATTAATATACTGTATATTATAGTGCACGTACAGTTAAAGTAAATGAAAGTACTTAATTTATGCTTCTGCAGTTCAGATTCACACAAAGTAATTTCTCCGTTCTTGGAAACCACCAGATGAGTCGTATAAACGTATTCCCTTTTTTAAACATCATACTACGTTTTCTTCTCTATTGATGTCACTGTGCTGAGTCAGCATGAGAATGTCTATATGACAGCCATAACTCACTGCTGATAAAAATGATTCCCAAAAGAGCTGATGCAATTACGGGCATATACTGCACATGTACGTGTATTCATTTTATTTTCCGTACAGTCACTCTGACTGTGCAGGTGACAGGGCAGTTAAAATGAAAGAGTGGAAATTCAAATCATATTTTCCTGCACTGAAAAATTACCAAATTAAAAAAAAAAAATCATCTGACTGTTTCAAAATGTCTTGGTCACTGTTTGTCACACTACTGGTCCTTGTCACAAGTATGTCAAACAGCTCATCTACCAAACAAAGGTCAGAGACTTGTCCCCTGACTTAGCTGGTCAATGTTAATGTAATATACAGTAATATTAGCTTGACACTCATATAAATGTAAATATTTAAAAAAAACGGTGTACAGTGTTTGTTTCTTCCAAGGCCCAATCAGGGAAATAGTAATCTATGAATTTATAGCCTTCTGCTCTTTTAGGTTGAATTGGTCTTCAGGTGGTTCAGAACGTTCTTTCACTTTAGCTCCTGGTTCAGTTTAGGATGAAATTTCAAGTTCTTTATTTAAATATCTCGATGGCTCTGCCTCTGGTTTTCAGTTCAGGACCATAAACTTTAGAACCAGCTCCACCTGTTCATCAGACATACTCTGTTACTTGTTTTTAATTTTGCTTGAAAACACACTTACCTACATGTGTGTTTTATTTAAGTTTTAGTTACTCAGTGTGTATTTAGTACTGTTTTTTTACAGCCTTCTGTGTGCATTAGTAGCTTTGCATGTTTGAATAATAATGAATGAATGAATAATAGTTTATATTTTTAGTCCATTGACGGGAACATGGTATGATACAGTACATTAAATGGAATTGTGTTTTAAAAAAACTATGCAAAACAGGATGCAAAACTATGCAGTCATTGATAAGAATGTAACATGAAGATTCCCATCATTATACTGAATGTATGAATGACATCTATCCATTCATTCATTCATCCAATTACATTCATAAATATTTAAATATTTGCTGAAATGAGTCCCAATATAAACTCTCAATTCCTGTTTGTTTTAGGGATTTATCCAAGAACATGAATGTGTACTCATATGGGGGTTTTTTTATTGTATATTTTGGAGTGTTAAACATTTTAAGGTGGACTCTTCCAGTAAATCAGAAACTAAACTAAACTAAAACTAAAACTAAAAGTTTCTTGGACCTGTCAGTCTCTGTACGACTGGTCCACCTCTCTGTCCTATAATTAGTTATGAGCCTTCATAACTAGTTCATGCGAACAGTCTTTCCTTGACCCTCATACTCATTCATTTAAAATTTACAGCTTCCTTATTTACAATAACCTTTATCATAGAGGATTCATCAAACCACAAAACCACCCACGTCATACAGGTTCCGTTCAGTTCCTGTCTGTCTGTCAATATAACGTGGTGTCAAACCCTTGTGGAGGGAAGAGTACACATCGGCAACAGTACACATCATCAACATGGTGAGTCCTCTCTGTCACACTGAGAATTTCTTACAATGACTCTGTGTTATTGATTATTCAGGAATGTATCTAATAATGACATTAAGTGTATTATCAATGATCACATTTTCGTTTTGTTTAGCTATTTCAACAGGGTTCATGCTAGTTTTTAAAAGGTTTTATTTAAAATGTGTTTCCAAAAATATAGTTTTTTTTCTTCTGCATGCTATAGAAATTGAGGTTTCTTCCACTAGATGGTGGTAAGCTTTAAAAGTTGTAATGATTTCAAAGATGTAGAATGAAATGTTTTTCATTATTTAAGGGTGTTGTTTTATGTCAGGGGTCAGGGAATACTGTTTTATGGTAAACACAGCTTTTAAGGTGAATTAATGTACAATATATATGTAAAAAAAACAGTTAAATCAATATGTGTGTATTAAATGTAGCATCAGTCTGATGTTACAACTTTTTTTACTGGCAGTGACCTTGATTGTTTTTTTTTTTATTATTCCTTAGCTCTTCGTCCCAGTGATGCTCCTGCTCCCTGTACTCTGTCAAGTCCAGGCAGATGAACCTATTAAAACCTTTAGATTCCAAGACCCGGTCACGGGGGAGACCCTGACCTGTGACAAATGTCAACCCGGGACCTTCATGGCTGCGCCCTGCACAGCTACCACCCCCACTGACTGCGCTCCGTGCAGTAGTCAGCACTTCACTGCACGGTGGAACTACCTATCCAGGTGTCTGTACTGCAACAACTTCTGCAGCGACAATCAGGAGGTGGAGGTGGAGTGTTCAGCTCTCAACAACCGTGTGTGTCGCTGCAAAGAAGGGTTTTTCTCCAAAAATGACTTTTGTATCAGACATTCAGAGTGCGAGCCTGGATTTGGAGTTCAAATTAATGGTAAGTGGTCCGCAGTTAGGGATGTGATATTTGACCCGTAGATGATAAGGAAAATGTATTGTTTTACTCATGCTATTATTTATATATATATGAACACAAATAAACTTAGCTTCTAAAGTAAAACCTCTAAATTTACCCGGTCTCCTTTTCAGGTACACGCAAAACAGACACCGTCTGTGAAATGTGCCCCTATGGATACTTCTCCAGCTCGTCTTCTGCGCTGGACCCATGTGTAGAACACACAGAATGTAAAAATGGAACTGTTGTGCTTCTGCCTGGTTCACTTTACTCTGACTCAGTGTGTGGTACCTGTGAGGAGCTGGCAAGAGGAGGTGTCTATTCAATTTCATTCTGACTTTTTATACTACTCACTAAAAAAATGTTATTATAGAAATGTTTCATCTTCAACCTTGTTTGTAGGTGACTCTCTGAGGAACTTCATCTCAGGATTCTTTGCCATGTACAGGATGCGTGTGGTAAAAATGAAGACATTTGTTTATAGGTGAGTCTTTCGATACTCAGTCGGTTATTTCTTCATCTGCTCATTTCCCCTTCGTCCACGTCATTAATCCATCGCCTTCCTCTGACAGGAACATTGATAGGACTGTGCGCAGACACAGGGGTCCTCTGCTGCATGAGATCAGAGCGTGGGTCCACCGAGCTCCAGAGGAGCAGCTGTGGAAACTGCCCCAGCTGCTGAAGGATGCACAGCTCAACACCATGGCCACCAGACTACAGAAGACGCTGACTGAGATTAAAGAGCAAAACCCTGGCTGTAGTTTGAGGTCTGAGAGACTAGGGATTATGGGCTGAACATTGTTTTTTACAGTCCTTCAGAGTAACTAACACAAATACCTCATTTACTTCATTAACAGGAGATATACCAGCATTTTGTCAATTGTGCAACTGTTTACAACATTGTAAAGTTACCTGTAAGGGTTTATACTTTGCCTTAGGTTTTGTCTAACTTAAATCAGTGAGGTAATAAAAGAAAAACACATGATCAGCAAGTTGATGGACTTTGTTGAATTTATTCATTAACAGGTAAAAAATGGGGATGTTCACAGTTAATTCACCAGTAAAAAATAAAGTTAAAAAACAACAACAGTGCTGCATGACACAATTAATACCCAAAGGGATTTCAATTCAAATTATTCTTCCTAGTCTTATCTAAATCCAAAAAAATATTAAAAATTAGCTATACTAAGCTGAACCAACACGAAAAACCTATATGACGAAATATAGAACGTGTACGCGTCCGTAATGTCTGCATATATCCACTAGATGTCAGCACCATCCACTTTAAACATCAGTCATTGACAACAAACGATTGTGCTTGTGATATTTCGATCGTGTATTTCGTTGGACTTTCTGATCCGATCTGCCCCAGAACTGTGCATTTATTTGAATGAAAATACATAAAATAATTCAGATTTTAAACGGTCATAAAGGATGTACTTGTGCCCCTCCCGCCAAGGAGCAACAACAACGGCTAGAATTGATGGTTCAACAGTTGATCATTAGTCTTTTTTTTTAATATTACTGACATCAATCACGCAAACAGGTTTGGTCATCAGTCGTCACGTGATTCTAACTTAAGAAAAACGAAGGAAACGGTTCTTTTTTAACAAATTATATGGAACATCTATAGAAATGTACAGACATTTTCTTTTTAATTAACTGAGAAACACGATTTTGAACGACAGGACATTCATCATGTTTGGATGGCAGCTGGAGAGAAGCCGTTAATAAAACATACAGATTTTAATCTGTTAGTGTCCCTGGAGCCCAAAAAACCGCTCCACGCAGGATCCTCCAGGGACCCTGTTAACAAAGGTAAAGCTATAATTCACTGGCCGAAAAGAAGAAAAAAAAACGTAGGGAGTTCAAACAGATGTGTTTTCTCATTTGATGCTGTGTTTTGTTCGTTTCTCCCCTTACAGGCGGTTAATGGAAGGCTCACGTTCTTGTCAGGACATGGTGGATGAAAGAACGGGTCAAACGAACCTGTGACGTGAGTCACAAGGTGACAGTGTGAAGTTCCGGGTTACAATAGTACCTGAAGGTGAAGTTCTTGACTAGTTCTACTGCTGGTAAAATCATTATTTATATAAACGTTTTGTCTTCTGTGGCTGCAAAAAATACTGTTCTGTAAAAGGCAGAAATAAAAACAGGGTCTGGTTTAAACCCAACTGAGTATCTGCGGAGAACCATAAAAGGAAGCTTTCTGTGGTAAGGCAGCAATTTACCCCCAAACAACCCCCTCTGGGGGAAATTCTGGCATTCACTGGGGGAAAACAGGCATGAACAAGACTTCAGTGGGTGAGAGAATGTGCTGTTTCTGTGTAAACTGATCGGGTCTTTTTGTTTGTTTGGGTTTTTTTTTGTTTTTTTTTTACTGAAATGGTATTTTATTTAGGAAAAGTAGATTTTTATAGTATTTTAATGTACTTTCTTTCAAATATACCTGATTATCACAGTAAATAACTCTGTATGCTTCCAGTACAGTGTGTCAACATGTAACTGTCACTGTCAGATTTAGAGTTGACTCTTCAGCAACTGGTTCTTTATTTGCAACTTCACAGTTGTTGTGTCTAGAATAGAATAGAATAGAGTAGTTCATACCTGGAAATAGCTGGAAAGGCTTGGAACATTTTTTAGGAGTTAAAAAAGTCAAAGCATTTAGTGTTCCTTAGTGCTTTGTAGGAGACTTTTAAATAAAATGCTTTTTCATTTTAGGCAGTGCAATTAACATTTAAATTAAGTGCCCAAGTACATTTGAAATGCAGCTAACTTTAAATCTGCAAACTGTCCAAATCTAAAATTACTGGGGTCGTTGCTGTAAAAAAAAATTCCTCATTAGAATGACTTGGCTTTTTTTTACACTGGGTAATTCGAAATTACTTAAGATACGGTGGAAAAAAGAAACATTAAAAAAATGTATTTACTTTTACCGATTTTGGTGGGGGTGGGGGGGTTCTTAGTGGATTTTGTGGATTTCTTTGATACCCACCATAAACACTGCATCACGTCACAGGAAAACAAATATATTGGGGGTTTTTTTTAGGCTTCGTCTTTTACTATTTTGTTAATAGACAATATGTCATTGTGCTGTCAGCAGTAACAGGACGGATGCTGTGTTCTTACTGATACTCTGGGATGTCCAGCATTTTTCAAAGGTGGCCGTGAGCACCCATACCCCCCTCTTGGGGACGCCACTGCCCCACTGGTTGAAACGTGAAAACGTTTTTATTGTATTTCCTGCATGTTTTTTAAGAAATGATTCTTCTTCCTTTAAATTTAAAATATATTTTACTTATGTTTCTCTTAATTATAGAAACGTTATTTATTTTTTAACATGTCAGTCTTCTAATTCGACACTGACCCGATTGGCATCCTCCTGTGACCGCTAGGGGTCTCTGGTTCCCAACTTGGGACCCGCTGTCCTGCTAATTAATTCGAGAGTGACACCAGCACCACCGCCCCCTTCTGCCACGCCACAACTACGGCTCCGCATCGTCGTCTCTCCAGCTGTCGCATCACGGTGCGGGGAGGGGCCGCGGTCTCACTGTTGGCTGACTGGCTGCTACTGTAGTACCGACAGCTTTACGGTAGAGCCCCGGTCCTCACTGAGGATGAGCTGAGCCACAGCGCTGCTCTTTCATGGACGCGGTTTTAAAGGAAGCCTAAGATTGTTTTGTTCCAGTTCGCTCAGTGTAAACAGTCGTTGTTTGTCGCCCTGTGTTTTTAGATTCAAAAGAAATGCACTTGGATAATTTATTTCGGACATCGCGAGAGGAGGAGAGGAGCATGTGAACGCACCGGCGGCGGCAGCAGCAGCGGCGGACCGTGGTGTTGGTGTTGGTGGCACCACCTGACACTTTCCTCCCTCCTGTTTTCCGTGGACTTAGCACTGGATTGTCTTCCTCCATGTGGTGATTGAACTTCTGCCATTGTTTGGGATTTTACTTTCGGCAAAATGAGCGAGGAGGTGTCAGAGGTCTCCAAAGAGCTGCTAGGTAAGAGCAGACACTCGGCGGCTTTGTGGCCATGTGTGCATGCAGTACTGTGATGGAAAATGTTGAACAGTGAAAAGTGTTTGGTAAAATAATCACCTAACGTTGCTGTGCTTTTGAATTAATTTTAAATAGAAACAATGACAATTTAACCTTTAGAAAATTTGTAAATGTACCGTACACAGGGTTACAACAATACAACACAGAGCAAATATTTGCAAAAATACGTTTAATTGAATACCGAAGTAGGGTTCAGTGTATTTGACAGTGTTCTGGAGTACAGGCAGATATTTGCATCTCAAACAAAGTGGATTGTTGTCACTTAATGTTGAAAAACGAAACCTTTTGTCCAAACAGATTTAAAAAAATGTCGATGAAGGCTAGATCAATGTTACAAAGATAACGATACAAGAGATTCTTTCAAGACTTTTCCATTCTGCTCCGTTCGCAGTACCTAAAGTACGCGCAGATTGTTTCTGTTATTGTATTTCAGCCAGTTGTATTTCAAGCTCACCTACTGCAGCACCTGCTCTTTCTTTCACACTAACTGTTCTAAATACCCGCAGTCATGTCTCATAACAGTTTTGTTCATGTTGCATTGCGTTAGTCAAAAGCGAACAGCACAAACAAATCTTACTAGATTTGACTATACACACTATACACTGTATTGTATTTATTGGTTTTGTAGTGAGTATACTGTACTAACAAATGGCGTTGGAAGAAGTTGACACAGGTGTTTTGTTGTTTGTTTGTTTTTCCTTTTTGGCGCTCAGTACATATTGGCAGTTTTGGTTGTATATTTGCAGATTTATTCAATACTGCTTAGCTCTCAATGGAAAAGAGCATTTTTTTAAGCCTTGGTGGGTAACTGGATGGAGTGACTTCATTCACGTTTAAAAGTTCCACTTCTGCCACAGTACCCAGCTTCTCTGATGTAATGTTTGACAACTATAAATGCCTCTGGGCCTTCAACTATGGATGTAATCTGTTTAAAATAGTCAGATGCTTTGCCTGTGATGTAATCTGTACACTGGGCATGTACGTATATAAATCTGCGTCCTGTGCCAATCCTGGCCCTTAAGCAAGTTTTATGTGGTTGCTAGCCTGAGTGTGTATTATTCAGGGGCCCCAGGACGATCAAACATGACTAGTAAATCATACAAGCGTAAGGTTTATTGTGTCTCTAGAGATATGCAGAAGCCACTGCTGGTGCTGTTGATGTTTTACATCAAGTCTATTGGGGAAAATGTGGATTTTAAAGTATATTACAGAATGTTTGTCAGTGTTTGATGAGACTGGATGACCTGCCTTAAAGTACACTGCAGTTTTATTATAATTAGGATGGAGCCGGGTTCTTATAACTTGTCTTGTCAGAGTTGAGATATATATTCCCACTGCGATTGTACTGCAGTACAACAGTATTGTCCTTGGCTTGTTGTGTCCTCTTGTAATTTATATCCATTTCTCCCTCCACTGGGTGATAAGTATCTTCAGAACAAACTGTATGTTCTGCAGATTACTATAGTACTTCATGCATCTTCACTGACCCTGTAAATACTACTAATACTACAAGTGATCAGAGTTCTCTCTCTTAACTCTCCACCTGCAGTGTTTACACAGTCCTGAGCGCCGTTTGGCTGTTTCAGCCTCTCTTTGTTTGACAGTATAACTCTATGTCTATGACACCTCAGTGCAATGTTAGACAAGCTGTAGCCTTTTTTTTTTTAGCTCTTACACAAGACCTGGTGTTTGTTTTGCTCAGCTTTATTCCTCAGGAGGTTTAAAGGCTGTGTACACTGCAGATAGGACTTTTAGGAAAATACTACTAGGTCAAAAGGTCACTTGTTGAGATCTTTATGAAAGGTTTGAACTACCCAGTTGTTGTTTTTTAATTTATGATGATATTTAGTTAACCTTTGTGGGAGTGAGATGTCTCAGTCTGTTGTTTTGGGCAGTTTGACAGTGTACGTAAAAACAGACAATAGTTCAATGCTTGTGTGTGAAACTTTCAGCATTCTTTTATGTTATCTTATGAAGCATAACGTATGACATTTAGTTAAAGATTAAAGTATTGCAACTTTTTCCCGAAAGATCCAGCTCATGTTCTCAAAAATCTTCGGCTTTGAGACAGGGCGTGGCCGACTTAAATTCTGCATTGTTGCTTCTCGTGAGAAAAATGTCTCAAATAGACAACATTAAAGTCGGTGATAACATCCAAATGCTGTACTTAACAGAACACAACTCACTTCAAATAGGATTTTTCTTTTGTTAAAATATTCAATTTTAACTAATAGTTACATTGACACACAGGTACTATTTAAAAAACAGTTAAAAAAGCTTAGTCAGCATTTTTCCACCTACAGATTGTGCAGTTATTAAATGATGAGATGCATTACTATAAGTCCTTATCCAAACTAGAGATGGCGTTAATGTTGGTAGAACTTTAGTAGAACTATGTTAGCCTTCAGTCCGGGTTCTTCGTCTTCACCTCAGTGACAGCTGAGTCATTTGACCAACACTGCACACTTTACAATGAGGAATTTGATGTAGCATGATCCTATTGTCTTGTGTTATAATGTAGTGAGTACAACCGGTCATTGTTTGAAACAACGCTGCTGCAGCTGATTCACGATCAGAAACAATGAAGCTTGTTGTTGAAAAGAGAAAAAAAGATCTGGCTTTTACAGAATATATACATTTGTTAACTAATCTAATACATGTTCAAATTCCAAGTAAGTTGAGGTCGATGTCATTAAAACAACATCAAACGTTGAAGCGAAAATATCCATTGTTAATGATTAACATTACCTTTGATAAATATCCAACCATAGATTAAATCATTCCATTACACAGGTCTGCATTTGTCCTTGGTAGGAAAAGTCCTGCAACGGCAATAAAAACTGCAGCTTTGGTTTGACTCACAGATTCTAATCAGAGGTAATAAATTCACCCAGTCAAGATTGGAGACACAGCTGAAGTCATTGACATTGGCCTGGGGAATTTAAATCAACAGAATGCTTAACAATTCTGATTATTGAACTCCTAGTAACAGGGTCAGAAAACTCCCAGAAAATTGCCCTTAAAAGATCCACTTCTTATGTTAGATTACTTTAACAAGTTTTAACTAAATATATAGTGAATATTTGTACTGACACTTCCTTATAAGACCCTGTCTTTTCACTTTTCTAAATTCAACCAAAATCTTAAATCTGACCAGGAGTGACCCGTTAGGTAAATTTGTTCTACAAGCTAGAACGTTGTCCAGCTCAGACACTGTAGATATAAATGATAAAAGTATAGATGGATGTATGGATTGCCAATCTAGAGATGCTCCGTTTCTGTCTGCAAGGAAACTAAATGGCTGAAGCTCATTAAAACGTAGTCTTCCTCATTTTGTGTTGCGATCCCCAGTGAATGCGGCTCAGGGAGTTATTGAGGGGAAATGCTTCACCAGGAAATGAAATGCTGCACATATTCGCCAGGGTGTCTGTAGCAGCTGTAGGCTGCAGGATGAACCATTTTACACACTAATTATTACTTTCACTCTGATCCGATGACAGTCTGAGGAAGCCTGTGGGTTAGGAACACACACGCATGCACACACGCTGGCACACACACACCCAGAATCCTTATTGGTTTTAGACACATGCGCACACACTACATCAGCTGTGGTGGAGGATGAATGAGGAGCGTGGGGGTGCAGCTGACCCACTTCTACTCCTTAAGTCAGTTTTGGAGGATTCTGCTGGTTGTGAACAATCAATCTGGCCAGAAGAACATTCTTAGAAAAATGCTCATTTAAAACTACCGTTGTCTGGTCCTTCATTGTGGTATTCAATTGATAAATATGGCCTTGTTTTTAGGCTAAAGTAAACCAATAAATGTACTACTGTATATGGAGATATTTTACAGGTCATCTCAAGTAAGATTTGTCTGCTGTATGAGGTCCACGCAAATGCACTAAACCAACTAATTCAAATTTGATTAGTTCCCATGGTACATGCTGACGGTCTCTTGCGGCACACTAATGTGCCAATGCCACAATATTTGGGAATCACTGCTCTGATTGGCTGCAGATGTAATGCAGGTTTAAACATTGCCTTTGTGTCACAAAATGACAAATCACCTCTCCACTATCTGTGACTTACTGCAGAAATGGAGGCCTCTGTTAAATGGTGCAGCTCCTAATCAGATTGAACCTGTCAGGTCATTTTTCTCTGACCTTTGCCATCAAGAGAGTGTTTTTGCCTCAGAGAACTTACAGTGTGTTCTCCTAATATCTTCTCTTTATTGGACCACAGCCTTTGAACTCCACTGATACGTTGTTGAGGAGAATCTTGGTAGCTAACAGGATTTTAAAGTACTCTGACCTAAGGGCATTCCCCCATCCATTAATTCTATGTTCAAATTTATTTCCAACACCTTTTGTCTCCATGGCAATGCCTGGTTTGAACTTCAGCTGGTCCTCTGGGTTTTGATTGGCCAGTTAACTATTTCCATGTACAAGCTGTTGAAGAGACATACCAAGAAAGGATTTTTTTTCCCTCTAAAAATTAGTTATTTTCCATTGAAGTCAAAATATTGACTTTTTAACTTAGATAGTGTTCTGTGGTTAAGAATGTGTCACCTTCTATAAAAGGTTGTCTTTCTGTGGTAAATAAGGTCGTGTTTTTTTGTTTGTTTGTTGGTTTTTAGAAAATCTACTGTTAAAATGTATAATTTTTTATCACTTGAGCCTATGAGTTGAGCATATGTTTCAAATTAGATTGTCACTGCCATCTCATTTCATCTGTTTTCGTCTCTCCTGTAGAGAGTGTGAGGGATGCAGTGGGGAGGAAGGTGAAGCTGCTGCTGAGGAGGAGAGTCAAACTGGAGATCAAAGGAGACAAGACGGAGAACCGAGTCTTGGTGAGTCACCTCCTGCTGCCATCAAGCTGCTTTTTGTTTTTGTACTATACTTATGTGCCATCATAGTACTCTGCACAGGTTTTGCGTCTGATACAATCTTACTGCTATAAGCTGCAGATCTTTTTCAGTTTTTTAAGCTACTTTGTTCTTTAGATGCAGGTTTATGTGGATGGTGAGACGATGTTTTACAAGATGAAGAAAGTTGCTAGTTGCTCTTATGTCTGTCGATGTGACTGGGGTCTGTTGAGGAAACAGCAACTTTTTTATTGTAAGAAAAGTCAGTTTCCAGTTTTTATATATCAAGGGTTTTTTTTTAAATTTATTTATTATTTTACATTTTTTACACAGAAGCCATTCTCTGTTAAGGCTTTAACTTCTTTAGTACGATCTGTCTTTGTCGCTGCCGCTTTACACCGTTTATAACCAGGGGTCTTCAATTAGTCTTGATGAAAAAGGCAAGGACATGAAAGGCTGCTGGCAAAGTTCATCACAGTTCGTCACAGTGACTCAGAGCTGAGGTGAAATTTTCACCCGGTCACTGCTTAACTGTGTGTTCACATCTTTCCCCTCAGGTGGGTAAAAGAGCAGCTCAGGTTTATAACATGTGACCAGGGAGCTGTAACTCCACTGAACTCTAAATAATTAATACCTGGAGGTCATTAAATATACATGTCGTCCCTGTATCTGCTTATAAGGGCCAAGTAGCAAAGGCGAGAGAGTTGTTTTTTCCCTCTGTAAATCAGTATCTGAACAGGGTTCATAAAGTTTGACAGTGGTATCAGACGCTCTATGTCGCCGTTAATGAATCAGCATGATGTTGTCATATGTTTGGATCTGAGTGGAAACAGCAGGAGCCTGTTAGTCATGCAGTATAGATCTGAGTGGAACAGAACGCTGGCATTTGTGAAGCATTTTGTGAAAGGAGGATATAACATGCAGAACAGTGTATCTGTGTTTATATACATGTATATAAATGTATATACATGTCTTTGCTCTGTCTGCCACCTGTTGTTTTGATACATTTTGCCAGTAAGCACTCTTAGAAGTCAGTGGCTGTTTTTGGATCACATGGTTGGTTGATAGTTATTTGAGTTGATAAATCACTAATTTGACCATGCAGGAAGTTTTCTCACCCATGTCTAACTGGTTTACTTCGAATCATGGTCTCATGGAATCATGGCACTGGTTTACTTCATGGATCACTGCAGTATGATTGGCTGCTTAAATGTGTGCATCAGCGTGCAGTGGTACTGCTGTGACGCACATTGGATATTGGTGGGGGGTTTTTATCACCAGGTTTTTTGTTACACTTTAGTAAAGTTTTGACATGATATGACAATTGAAGTGATGTACTTGAGTATAAATGGGAATTTATTATATTTTTTTCAACAGCTTGTAGGAGGTTTTATCATTTGCTTCTACAGTATATACAATATGGAAAAAAAAACAAAACAAGCAAGGCCTTCTTATTTCCTGGTTCACTCCAGTTAATTTCCTGGACTGAGGCTAAGCCTGACAGCATTGTCAGTATGTGGGACCTGGAGACAGTAGCCGGTCATATCAAGCACTACTAGCACCCATACAGTACACACAACAATGTAAAGAAGTGGGAGGTGTTAATGGGAAGTGAGGAATTCCACTGGAGTGGTTCTGGTATTCCGTCTTGACGCAGGGCATGAGAATGGGGCTGTGTTTTTATCAAGGCTCTGCTTGATCGGACTGAACAAATAAACCAGTGTTTGTTGTTCTTGAAGAGCAAAAATGGACGTAAATATGAAGGAAGCGAGTTCCAGAGAAAACAAACATGTCATGGAACGTCTGCCTTACTGTACTGTAGTATTAGACTGGTGAAGAGTAGCACATACCTCTGTGGTTTTAAATGTTGTGAATGAAAATCAAAAAACTGTTTGGACAAATTCAAACATTCACTTCACACCTTAGTTCATATTTTCAGTTTTTGTAAAGAGATTAATCTCATTTGTATTGCATTAAATGTTGAACAAACTGTAACTGTGCAGTTAAGACACAGCTTGATGCAATAAATGTAACTGTTGGACAGTGTGTCTCATGTGAATGTATGATATTTAAGCTGCACAGCCCTCTTAGAACATACCATCCACTGTGGTGTCTGTGGTATTAGAAGCAGAGCAGTCACTGATTGGACTGCCTGATTAGCTTTGCTCTTCGTGGCCAAACTGAGGCACTGACCTGTGGGAATATGTGATGTTTTTAACACTGCAAAAGTGTTCTTTTGAACTTGTTACTGCTGTATGAGTAGATTTACTCTGCCCCTGGCCGGGCTTTTCTTAGTACATATAATGAGCTGCTTTCAAATGAGACCGTTCGATTTTGAATAGATGTAGTCATAGTATTTTAATATACAGCACATCTGTTCAGGGTTTCTTAATTTGTACTTAAACCTCAACGCCAGTCTCACATTTTTAGACTTGTTTGCTTATAATAGTAATGTGCCAGATCAACATTGCATCACACTGGAGTAAAGGTAACATCCTCGGAAAAAATGGGCTTTGAGACACATTTATATGAAGAATCCAAGAACAAATAGTTGCTATGGAAAGACTGTTGATTTAGATAAGGCCTACATAGGTTAAAAATAGGCTAACAGCTAAAAAGAGTGTGGCGTCCACTATTGAAGTGGAAAAAGTTGATAGCATTATCATAAAACCAATACCGTAATTACATGTATAACACATATGTCATTTATAAGCACTATCTACTATATACACCTCCTGGTGCAGTATCTTTAAGTGTAAGTCTCTTCAAATGTCAGACAGACACCACAGTGGCTCGTCTTGCAGATATCTAAGGTTTAATGTTAGATGCTGGCATTTATTTAACTTCCACTGTCAGACGACCGGAGTCTCACACAGGACTTGATTTTTGACGACAGACAACGACAGACATTTATCTGCTGTGTAAAGTACACAGATAATGGTAGGAGGAGTGTGGTTATTTCCACTCTCAATTTTGTAGTCTATCAAACACACACAAGGACTTTGGCCTTTTTCTCGCTGAGCTTCATTTAAAGGGAGTGGGAGTGGAGCACTACAGAGCCTGAGGCGTTTCCTAGGCACACTAAAGCTGGACGGATACAGTCATCTCCCTCCTTTGAAGGCTGAGGGATGAAGGAGGTAGAGATAATATCATCAGTCCAGCAAACACACCCGGGGGAGGAAGGGGGTCGAGAAATGGGGGGAGAGAGATAGAAAGAGAGGGAGAAAAGGAAAACGTTGCATACTGTTAAGAAAAAGAGAGGTGATGAAGGAAGAGAATAATAAACTTCACAACACAGACAATTCCTCAGCTGACAGATATAATATATATAAAAATAATATTAAATACTTGAGAAAGTTTGACATATTTCCATTAAACAAAAGGCTCAAACTAGTGATGGAAAAGACCATTAAAGTAGTTTTTTGTTACAGTTCAGCTTGAGTTCAACTTCCTGTAATGTTTTGTGAGACCATGGGTATTGAGGGAATAAGCTCTGCCTCAGGGCTTCCATGTTTTCTATAATGCTTTGGTCACATACTGTAATTGGGGTCAACATTCACAACTAACGAGCGAGAACAAATGAGTCCAGTAGGTCACTGTGTCACTGCCAAGTACTCTGTGTATTTCACTACAGTGTTGGTCACTGGTATGATCTGTTACACAGAGTCATTTTTCATTGGTTTTGGTTTTTTCGAATTGCAGTAAGAGTTCTCTCATACAAGAATAAGTCAACACTGCAAGTGGTGTTTCTATCCAAGAATTTCTTCTTGGTAGAATTATTTTACACCACATAACAGCCTGCTTAAATAGCTTGCTTACCTTTGGTTTTGGTGAAGAAGACATTTTTTGCTATGCCTTAATATTTTAATTTGGTAAGAATTCATGTTTAGTTACAAACACAATATGAATTTGATTTTTCAATTGTTTATATTTGAGGGCTGAAAGCCTGATAAAAAATTAACACTGCTCAATGTTTTGATAAAGATATAAGGATACAATTGTCAAAGCATGTGACAAGGCCTGGGAGACTTGTCTTCACAGGTTTTAGTTACTAAAACCAGAGAATCTATGAAATTATAATATCTGTCCTAAAAAGTTTGTTGTGTCCTTGTACACACAGCAAATTTAGCAAATAATTATTTTTTCTGGCAGGAAGGAAAAGTGCCTTAAGTAAGTAAACAGCTGTAATGTTGTGTTTTTGTAAACAACTCACACTTCAGAGACAGTCCAGAGAAGAACCACCAGACTGTGTTAGGCTTCAACTGTTACTGTGAAGAATCTATGTTAATTTAATTCTTCTCCACTAAATATGGATATATATTCAAACGCCGGGTGTCTCCAGTTTGCCATAATCTCATTAGATCCTTCATGGCTTCTTATCAAACAGAGCAGCCTACCGTCTTTTCATGCTTCCAAATGGAATGAACGTTCTCTCGGCACCAATTTCACTCTTAGCTTACAGCTGATTTGCTGTGTCACACTGTGGCCAATTTAATCAGAGTCATCTGTCAGCGCAGGCTAAATGCAGATGCTATTTTTACTTGGTAGAAGTAGCACGAGTTTAACCCAGTCTGCACCTACACCCTGCTATTACTTGGTTTTGTTCCATGATTTTCTGGGATGTTTGGTTCATGTTGAGTGGAGGAACAGATTCAGATAATGAGCAGGTTAATTAGGATAAATAGTATGTGCCGTTGTTGATCTTTCTCTCTCATTGAACCTTGGGTCATTTATAGTCCACACTGTTAGAAGTACACAAGAGTGAAATGACCTTATGTGCAGCCAAGAAACAAATGTGTTTTCTGCAGCAAATACCACTCAGGTAGAGGTTAAGTTTTACTGCACTAAGTAGTGGGTGGCTAAATACAACTTTTTCATGTCTGATACCGATACTACAACTTGGAGTATGTGCTGATATCGATGTCAATCCAAATCCTTCTTTTCTTACCCAGCATGCCGCAGGTCTGTCGTTGCTGAAATCATGG